CATTCTCGAATAGTTCAAAAATTTTGAAATTTTAACATTATGCATTGTTTCAGTTTGAAAATTGTGAGTACTTAAGAGGGGACTCACCTCCAGAAATTCGCTCCTTTCCACCCGGCTCAATGTCTGGCCGTTTGACCAGTGCCCCAGCAACAGGATGGAGTAGGAAGCCGAAGTCAGGCGAGTGATAAATAGCGCTGCCGTTCTTGGCCAAACAACGAGCGCGCACTTCTTCTGCACGCATCGATAGTCCCTCAAGCTCGAAACCTCGCTCCGTCCTTCGATTCTTCTCCGCCAACGTCGAGGGACTAATACTGTGGCCATTCGACAAGCTCTCAAATTGTATCGTGTAAGCTGCTCCTGGCAGCAAGTAGTTGAAGTAATTATCTACCAAAGGGAAGAATACCAGTTGATAACTAGCATTTAAATAGTAAGTTTGCCATTAATACCTGCAATTGGATATGCCATCAAACCTGTAAGTGTATAAAGAATTATTTGTCATATTGCTTACCATAGGCTCCGCAGGTGATATTTACACTCCCATTCAAAGCGGATTCCACATGCCCAGATGGTCCCACTTCGCTTATGCGTACATTGACCTTGTAGACTTTGGTCGTCGTCGGTAGTTGAAATCATCATGCAAATAAAATACCAGCAAACGTCTCTTAGATTCAAAATTAACAAATTCCAAACAAAAAGCATGCATATATGCTACTATATAAAATAGAAATATAAAATAAGTATTTAGTGGATAAAACAATAAATAATCGAAATAGAGTATATGGATGAGATTCTATGCACATATAAAAAAATCTCAAAATAGCTGTTCTATTTCAGTTTTCCTCATCAAACTGAATCTCTAAATAGTTATTATGAATGCATTAAATGCCCATTTTTCTAGAATTATGTAATATAGACAACAATATTTTTATATATATGCATATATAATATTCAATTTATTATCTTTTATTGAAGCTACGGGGAGGGAATAAATTGCATAGTATTATTAGTTAAACTTTGTTCTGGGTTTATTTGCATGCAACTTAACTAATCACATTTTGTGAAGTTGATCGTCCTCTGTTGATGATGAGCCCAACCCTCAGGTTGGAGGCTTCAGAATCTGCGTGAGGCCAAAATTGACCTTGTGTGAGCGGTTCATTAATAATGTTAAACTATGCATTTTCACTACACAATCATCAATGCAGATAAGCCATACTCAAGCACATCAGCCAAGTCTAACACGCATATAAATGTATTTGCGTCCTAATCATACAGGAATATATTCCGAATTGGCAAAGCAACTATTTTTATGGCTCAAGCAACCTCTGTCTATCCCTCTATTATATCTCACAGAGCAGTGTAAGTGAAGTAAGAACTTACGCTCCACTCGGATCTCATCCGATTTTATCAAACGACCATTCCGATCCCTTGCAATACACTGAAAAGAAAAGAAAACAAATGAGGAAATATTGACTAAATTATGGAAATAAGTTTCTCCCTTCAATCTACAAAATCTAAAGTATTCTTGTGTGATGATACATTCTGGGCTCCCCATCACCTGCGTAATGGACAATCATTTAGTTTTTCAGTAAATCCAGAATTGTTAAGAGTGAAAGAACGCATTCTAGCGTAGGATCTTAGTATAAAACACATAAGAGCAAAGCTGAACCACCCGTTATGCTTCTGGCGCTATCATCTAGAAGTAGATCCCCATCATCTTATATCACCTTCTATCAATAGACTAATAAGACCGTTATGGCCTTCGAAGATGACTCTTAAAGCCTCGTTAAGAGTGGTTTAGTAATCGAACCTCCATTTTGAGTTCGCTTCTCTTTTAGCGATTACTTTGGATGATGTTCCACTTCGAGGCAAATCTCATATAGCAACATAATCGCCTGATTCTTCACCTAAACATTAAGAAAATAATCTTAACTCCAGATATATTTAGCTATATCTACCCGTCTACTCATTAATATCCGAAATAAAAAAGCTGTTCCAAAGCAATAAGATCGTTCAACTATTTCTGGCTTATGAGTGTGAAAATAATCTTTGCCTTTAACTCCTTCGATTTGGACCAGGTAGAGAAAGGTGTTAATATGAATGCATTTTCATCTTTATTAGCGAACCTTGTAGACTCCTTCCTGACTGCCATCACCATCGAACCGCTCAAGTAGAACCCTGGTCCAATAGTCCTGGCCACCACGTATTCTGATTCCCAGATTGGCCATTCGACGCGGCGTCAAAGCAACCTCTTGCTTAATCACACCCACCCCAAGTGAATTTAGGCCAGAAGCCTCGTTGATGGGAAAATCTCCATTCGGATGAATGGAAGAATTCTTGATAAGGCTCCAGTGTAGACCACCCAATGGAGGGGGATGACCGGCAAACTCACAAGTCAACTGTAAAATTTCATCAAAATGAGAGCATATAGCAAGAATTTGGTTCATGCAACAGATAATAGCAATTTTAGTTAGATTTTCTATAATTGCCATTACAAGGA